ATGAGTCGCAAGCGACTCGACGGCACACAACAACAACAACAACAACAACAACAACAACAGAGCTTGACTTTCTAGTCCTGAAGTTTGCTAATTTTCTAAAAGCGTAGAGAGCCTCCAGTAGCTGGCTATTGTCATCATCTCACCTTCCCTTCAGAAAGGTTATTTAAAAATGAATTTAACTCACAGAGGAACTTTGACAAACGTTAAATCTATTAAAGTCTTAGACAGGCTTCCGTAAGATGGATGGCAAACATTTTACAGACTTTATCTTACTTAATCCTAAAAAGCCTTATAAGGTTAGTTCTTTTTGTTATTCCCACTTTCCTAGAGAAGAAAGCTGAGGCCCTGAGGTGCTAAGTAACTTTATCCAGAGTAACATAGTGGTTAAAGTAGTAGTCAAGATTTTGAATTAGACAATCTGAATCCAAAACCTGAATTATGAAACTATGTTGATACTACTACCTTTCAAACAACAGGAATGAATTCTGTTTTATCAATTTTCTCTCTCTAAGGAAAGTTTCTAGTAGTATCAGAAAATATATGCCAAGCGTGTGTGCATTGAATTAGTGGCATGATCATAACAGAAGGTCTTGTTGCAGGTTTTACCTTTAGAGTGTTTAGACACATTTCATTGATCTGAATAATTTGTTTTATTTTTGCATATCTTACAGTCAGTATTCAGTGGTCTTGTTTTTAGGGCATGACTTCTGTAGGTAAAGAACCCTGGTGGTCTACCAGGAAAGTGTTCTTCTACTATTTGACAGTTTTAAACTGCCATATGTTCATGGACGAAAGATGTAGCAGTCTACTTGCATAAAGGTTACAGCCTGGAAACCATATGAGAAAGTTCTACTCTGTGTTCTATAGGATCATCGAAAGTCAGAATTGACTAGACAGCACACAGCAACAAAACCCTGTGAATTTCTGTCTTGACCCTGTTGAGTAGAAGGACTTAATCATATTCCAACTCTTTTCCCATCCTCAGCCCTAAGTTGTTACCCAAGTCCAGCTGCTGGTCTGTCCGTGCTTTCCAGCCCAAGAACTAATTCCCTCTCTGAGAAAATTGGAAAAGCTTCTGGAGGCTGCTGAGAATCTTTGATGTAGAGGTAGCAATTGAACAGATTGTCCTTTAGAAGCAGCCAAATTTCATTTTCCAAATTGAAAGACAGACTTCCAAGAAAACTTTTCTTTTTAATGTTTTGTTATAGCATCCAAAAAAGACCCAACTTTGGTATCCGGGCTTGAGAGTTTCTCATGGCTATTCTTGTTCTAGGCGGAGGGTGGTTGGCCTCCTCTCAGATGGCATGTGTCTTAATAGCTGTACAGCTGGCCAGGCCAGTCTTCACCTCCCTCCTGCTGGGCTCTGAGAGGAAGTCCACTTGACAGCTGCTGGGCACCACCCAGTAAGCTTACCATAGTATTTCAGTGTCACTTTGTGACAGACCTGGATTCAAACCCTAGCACTGCTAATAGTTTGTTAATATTGTGGCCACTGGCAGATTATTTAGCCTGCTTTCCTGCCTCTAAAATGGAAATTATAATGCTTGCCTCTAGGGTTAAAGAGAAGGTTAAGTGAGATAATGTATTAACATGGTGAGCGGTAGACCTAGAGGAGCTCTGGTGGCTTTTCCATGTTGTTGTTGTTATGTGATGTTGAGTCACCTGCAACTCATAGTGACCCTATGTGCAACAGTCCTAAACACTGCTCTGTCCTTTACCAATCTCACTGTGTCTGACACACCCACTCCCACACTCTAGTCACTGAATCAGTCCACCTCATAGAGGGTTTTCCTCTCCTGCGCTGTCCCCTCCAACCTTCCAAGCATGACTGGTCCCTCCTTGCAACATGTCCAAAGTATGTCAGACGAAGCTTCAGAATCCTTGCCTTCAAGGAGCAGCCCAGTTTAACCCTCTTCAGGATGAACCTGTTCGTTTTCTTAGCAGTCCATGACACATCCAATATGCTTCTCCAGCACCACAGCTCAAAGGCTTGTCCACAGCATGTTAATACTATTAATCAAAGGCCAAGTGTCTTCAGTGGTTCAAATCCACCAACAGTTCCTTGAGAGAAAGATGGGTAGTCTGTCCTATTAAAATTCACAGCCTTAAAAAAAAATTACAGCTTTAGGGAGCTCTGGTGGCCTAGTAGAAAGAAGCTGCACTGCAATCTCAAAAGTGCACGGTTCCAATCCACCAGGTGCTCTGCTGGAGAAGGAGGGGAAATCTCCTGTGCCAGTCAGATCTAATTTGAAGGTACACAACAAGAGGGGGGAAATTTACAGCTTTAGAAATCTGATGAGTGGTCACCGTTAGTCCAGGCCAGCTCAGTGGCATTGAGTTTACAGTTTTCTGAGCAGTGTATTTGACCTCTCTTGTGGGCATTTAGTGAATGTTAATTTCTGATACTAATACTGTAGTGATTAAGAACATGTGTCTGTGGAAGCTCTGGTGACTTAGTGGCAAGAAGCTGTGCTGCAGTCCCAAAGGTGTGCAGTTTGAATCTACCAGATGCTCTGCTGGAGAAGGAGGGGCAATATCTTCCTGTGCCAGTTGGATCTGATTTGAGGGTGCACCACCACCATCACCACCACCACAACAGAAAGATGTTGCTTTTTTGCGTGGTTCAAATCTATCAGATCTTCTGCTGGAGAAGGAAGGGTAATCTCCTCCTGTGCCAGTCGGATCCTATTTGAAGGTATACAACAAGGGGGAGGAAAGAACATAGTGTCTGAAAAGAAATACATTTACATTCATCATAGTTTTTAATTTCATAGCTATGTGAAATTGAGCCATTTTCTTGATCTCTTTAGAAGTCAATTTTCTCACTTGTGAAATGGGTTGGGAAGTGTTGCCTCATAAGAATGCTGATAGAGTTCACTGGCTAATGAATGTAAAGCACTAATTATATAGTGCCTAGTGCATAATAAATCCATAGTGAATTACATTCTTCCTATCATTGGTGGTGTTTGTGAACCTTAGAGTCTCTGGGTGGTGCAAATGGTTAAACAAAAGGTTGGTGGTTCTAGCCTACTCAGAGGCACTGGAGAATAAAGGTTTGTTTCTGGAAGACCACAGCCAAGATTTGATACTTTGTCTGAAAGATCAGAGCATGAAACTCCTGAGGAATGAAGTTCTGACATGCATAGAGTCACCACAGGTCAGAATGGATTCAGTGACAACTTTTTTTTAAAGCTGTACCTTACAAGGGTCCTGCCCTATATCTATCTTCTGATGACCTCTACTTGTTATCATCTAGTAAAATATGTACTTCACGGATTGCTGAAAAGCAGAATATATCACTTCTTTCCTAAGTCATTGCCATAAAAAACAGATTTTTTACATTAAGAGCACACATTTCTTATTAATTTTCTTTTTTCCCCTCTGTCCTTGTGCTGCAGCTTTTTGCCTGTCATGTAACAGAGGAAACACTTTGAATGAGAGGCCCCTCATCCAGCCAGCGTCCTTTCTTAGAGATCTCATAATTAAGAGGCTTGGATGTCTGTCTGAGCACTGACCTGATTTGTGGGATTTAAACCCAAGAAGCCTTGCCCAGTTTTGTCATTCCTGGAGTGATGAAAGGCATTCTTACATTATATATGGTCTGCTTTCTTATTCAGCCCCAACTCCCTCCAGCCTCACTTCTTTTTCCTTGTTGTTTCCTTTGGATAAATTTATTTAATACACTGCAATTTTCACAGCACATTGGGTCATCTTAAAAGAGGATATGTAGACTAGAAGGACTTAAAGTTCTCAGGTAAAATTAATTGAGGAACATACTATGCCTAAGTAGGATGTCAGTTTGAGGACTATGGTGTGCCTGAATCAGACCATGGTCTTTTCAGTCACTTGTTACGCACCTGAGATCTGGACTATGAATAAGGATGACAGAAGAAGAACTGATGCCTTTGAACTATGGTGTTGGAGAAGAATATGGAATATCCCATGAACTGTCAAAAGAACATACAGATATGTCTTGGAGAGAGTGCAGCTAGAGTGCTTCTTGGAGGCAAAGATGATAAAACTTGGTCTCACATAGTTTGGTCAGGTTGCTAAGAAAGGCTATTCCTTGGAGAGGGATATCATGCTTGGAAAGGTGGAGAGTCGGTAAAGGTGAGGAAGACCCTTAATTAGATGAATTGACACAGTGACTACAGGAGTGGGCTTTAGTGTGTCAGAAATTGTTTGGATGGCACAGGATAGGGCAGGGTTCAATCTGTTGCTTTTAGGGTTGCTATGAGTCTTACTTGACTGCACTAACAACAGGTAGGGTAGATGAGATGATACCTGTCTAGGTTGTCAAAAGAATTCAGGGCCAGAAATGAAGATACAGAATCACAGTAAAGTATCAAGAAAATGTGGAGCTCATCTGAAAGAAATACCTTCTGCCAAGTTGGTGCTAACTCATGGCAACCCGCCTTTGGGTTTCTAAGTCTATAGATATTTATAGAAGGAGACTGACCATCATTCTCCTACTGAGCAATTTATTGGTCGATTCCATTTGCTAATCTTGTGGTTAGCAGCTTGATTCGTTGTTGCTGTGTATGATACTCATACCTGAAGCTCCAGCAGGTTTTCAGAGTCAGTTTATTGCACAGAAGATTGCCCATACTTCCCCCGCAGAGCAGCTTGTGTATTTGAACCATGTGCCATCGGAATTGTGGCACAGCTTCTTACCACTAGGCCACCAGAGCTCCCTTGATACATTACACCACCAAAAATTATGACATTTAATGGGTGAAAAAACAACCTTAGGCAAAAGTGACTTGTGCAAGGCCATAGATTAGAGTGGTAAGAGGACTGAAACTAGATGGCTGGTTGTCTGACTATATTCACTGTTCTCTCAACCTATGATCTTGTCCTGTGGTTCTACTGTTACTCACTTTTATAGCATACAACACTATAACTGTTGATATTTTAATTGAACATATCATATATTTGCCATATAATCAATATACTTCCTTTAAGACCTCGTATGTTTATATTTTATTGTTATTTTCTAGGGTGTCAGATTCCTGATACATTCAATTCATGGTTTCTCATAACTCTACTTCATGTTTGGTAAGTAAGCAATTTAATGTAAAGTTATCAAATGTACATTCCCTCCTAATGTTTTATTGTATTGACTGAAAGTTTGCAGAGTAGCTTGGTTTTTTCATTCAACCGTTCATACACATTTTGTCTTATTATACTCTACACATTATATTGCAGTACTTTATGTTATATAGCAGTTATATATTCTACAGCAAGTTATATATTCTATTCTTCTACATGTTATTATATAGCAGTACTCTTCTCATTTCCTCCCTGTGTTTCTTTTATCTGTCTGTCTGCTCTCTTCTTGCTTTCTGGGCTCTATACCTGGGCAAATGCTGCCCTTGTGATCTTGTATAGTCATTTATTTTAAGGACTAAGTACACATTTGGTGTAATTATTTATCTTCTAGGCCTGTCTGTTATTTGAGTCAAGGGGGGAGATCAGTTTCAGGCTCAAAGAGTGACCACTCTGAGAAGAATAACAATAGAGAGTCCTGAGTAGATTGAAGGAAAAGTGTGGAACAGAAATTAAAATTATAAAAATGGCCAGGCTTACTGGTCTGATAGAGACTGGTAGAACTCCCAAGACTGTGGACCTTTGTTACCCTTTGAGCCTGTATTTTAAAAAAGAAGTATTACTGACATGTAAGATACAACCTTCAGAAGGACTGATTATGTGACGTGACAGTGTTCAGGTATTAAAAAATATGTCTTTCATTTTAATAACTGGTGTTTTGAAGCACATTTTTATAAAGGTCAAAGCATAGACTGAGAAAGAAACTAATATTTGTGAGTTTTTCTCAAGGAACACCTAATTCAATGAACAATGCTATCAGTATCTCTAAGGGACTCTGTGAGCTTGGATGGAAATTTTTCTCCTTTGGATGTTTTAGGAAAGTTCACATTTACGTAAAAGTGGTTTGAATTGTAAGAATCTGTGGTCATTTTCATTGCTGGTCATCAGAAACCTATAACAAATTATGGCACTGACATTTACGCCCGTACCTCTAAAATGTGCATACAGGTTAGAGTCATGCTAGGTTTGTTGCATGTAAAAATATTTTACACCTCTAAACTGTATATTTTTTTTCTTCAGCTGCAAAATAAGTAGCCAACAAAAATCAATTTTTCACCTAATGTTACACGTTACTAAAGGTCAGGAGGATATAGGTGAGATGTTGAAGTGGGGGCTGAGGAATGTATTTATTGAATTGCCAGATCTTGGGAAAGTAAATTCTCGGGCACTGAGTTTACTACTTTGACCATAGTGAACATCTGAGGAACGTGGGTAATGGCTGCCTGGTCAAAAGGACCCTTGTTTGAGAGTGCCTTTAGCTGGGCCTTTACATCACAGAACTGACTACTATATAAAGATTTTTTGGTTTCGATCATCTCTGAAATATTTCTTCCACCGAATTCATAGAGTTCATAGAGATTGGCTAAGGCGCCAAAGGTAATAGTTTATTTCAGGCTCATTTTTTTCCTGTACTGGTAGTTTATTGAGTATATACTATGTCTTGAGTGCTTTTCTGAGAACTAGAGATAGTTCTGAAGAAGCTCACAGTGGAATGAGGGAGATAAAGCATGTGAAATTGTCAGTTACAATTCAGACTGACAAGGTTGTATAATAAATTTAAGTGCTGCTTAGGGGATTATGGAGGAAGCCACAATTACCAACACTCTACTTTCTAGTTCTTTGAAATATGTGATGTCTTTAAGTCAGGCAGCTGAGAATGCAAACTGCTATCCATTTTTCCTGATGGAAAAGGATAGGGAGGAGGGCCAGGGAGAGAAGCTGGATATATTGAGGGGAAAATACTTTTTCAGGAGGGGAGGACTGCTGAAGTAGCACTGTGGAATTATTCACTGGAAAGGTGGGAGGGTTGAAAGGAGGATTAGGCTGTTCCCTGAGGAGCTCAAAGATAATATTCAGTGCCTGAATGAAAGACTCTTTATTGCCCATGTGAGCTACAGGTACTAGAGTGTTAGAGGGAGTGGGTAGCAAAATAAAATATATAATCCCTGTGACCACATCCCAAGGTCAATACCTGACTAATAACAGTCGGGAGAACCTTGAAACCACTTATAGTTCTTTAAGTTAGCCACTGTTTCCAGTCCATGCCTCCTGAATTCTTGCAGAGGTTGGTTTAATTTCTCGGAGTTGGGAGTACCACTACCTGCCTATGCTTAAATTTACGATTGGTCTCCCCTCTACTCTTTTTCTTGTCCCTTAGTTCTGATGATAGATGGATTTTGATGGAAAGAATAGCTTTCCCATTTGAGTCTGCAAACTCTTGTTGAGGACCTACTGTGTGTTAAGGTTGGTGGAACTTTGGCAAGATGAATATGACATGGTTTTCACTTTCAAAAAATAGAGAGAAAGCAGACATAAGTACTGTTGTCTGTAATGAATGACAGAATGAAAGAAGTATTGTGCCTCAGGTACCAGCAGATGCTGTGGAAGCACAGGAAGTGTGACTAAATCAAAACGTGGGCAGGGGAGTGTTGGAAAAAGGGTGTTTTGTGGTGGAGGTGACATATGAGATGCACGGTGAAGGGTGTGTAGAATTTCTGTGAGAAACAGAGGACATGTTAGACTAAGGGAATAACAGGAGCAAAAGATAGAACGTGTACAAGAACATAGAGTATTTGAGGACAACTATTGCTGATGTGTCTGACACCAGTTTGTGGAGAAATGTAGTAGGAAGGGTCACCAAAATGGTGTAGGGCTCAATTTTGCTATAATTCTCTAAGAAGTAGATAACTCTCTCCTGAAGGATAGAGAACTTAAGGCTGATGATGGTTGTGCCCGCAAATTTGTGGAGAAACTGTTCTACCATCTCTAATCTCTTACTTAGCCTGAAGTGTCAGAAGAATGACCCAGAGTAGCCAGTTGTTCAGGTCTTTCGTTTATAGGGTCACTATGAGTTGTCTGTGACTCAGCGGCACGTAACAACACCACCACCATCATAGAGAGCTCTGTGGGCCTGGTGGATAGAAAGTCATGCTACCTAGTCAAAGGGGGGGGGGTATTTTAATCTGTGGCTCTCAGGCCTGGTTTTGATTTTGGTCAAACATTCTTCTAAGTGGTATAGCACTGGTCTGTTTATATGCTGTACAGAGATGACTCATAGTTGCTGTGATGCTAAACACTGTGACACTGATGTGTCAAATGTGATAATGCTTACCTGTGGTGGACAGTGTGTGTTGGAGCTGCCCGATTAAAACAAGCTTGGAAGCAGGAGTGGCATCCACTTCTGAAATAGCTTGCCTCTGGAAACTGTGAACTTGGAGAAATGATGAAAGTTATACAGTTGTTCATAGGGTCGCTATGAGTTGTCTACGACTTGATGGCACTTAACAACATAGACCTTCTCTGGTTCCAAAATTTTTCTTTTGACTGAGAAAGATCAACATCTCAAAACCAATCTCAATCATGTCTATTTGATTTACACTCATAGCAACTCTATAGGGTAGAACTGGTGTGTAGAACAGAGGGTTTCCAAGGCTGTAAATCTTTACAGAAGCAGGCTACCACATCTTTTTCCCATGTTCTCTCTTATTGCTGGTTTAGTTGGAACCAACTCATAGCTGACCCTCTGGTGGGATTTCAGAGGCTGTAAATCTAAATAACATGGGAGGCAATTGTCTATCCTTATCTTGAGGAGCAGCTGATGAGTTTGAACCATTCACCTTTGAATTGGAAATAACAAATCTACCCACAAGGCCAGCGGAGATTCAACAGAGTTGCTAATGGGTACAGTCAGTCAGTCAGTCTTTCAGTTAACAGCTGAGTAATTATAGGCACACTGTGTTAGCAAGCCTCCTTGATGAGATTAAAAAATTTAAAAGGCATGTTTTCTGGAGGCCTTCCACTTCTGAGAAGGTCTTATCAGTGAGGTATTTAAGTGAGCTTACAACTGTGAGCTTACTTTGGTGTTCTTTGTCTTGGCTGAATAGGGTTAGTATTGACTGATTGTTGAAAAATGTTTTAAGGTCACTGTTGGAATTGGCTAGCATCTCACATAGACTTTATAAAAGCTAGCCTCCTCTTCTCTTCCCTGTCTTGGTCACTGCCATTGGGATCTTCTCAGGTGCCCACTCCAGAAACCTGGGAATCATCCTTGACTTACACCCCATATGTGGTCATTCATAGTCACAGTCACATGTATATATCTGACATAAAACATACATAAAATTTACCATTACAATGTCAGATAATCTCTGGAATTTTCTGTTCCGTGCAAACTAATTTTAAGCACACACTCCTCGAGTAGTCTTAATTGTTCTCAGGATAAATAAACAAGTTTATTGTTAGAGCATTCATATCCTATCCAGTGTGACCCTGTGCTGTCTTTACTAGTCATCTGTTGATGTTCATTTACCACTACCACCACCACCACCACCACCCTATCTTCTGTAAGGGAGGGGGGCCTATATAATATAAATACAAAGTCTTTATTCTGCTCACAGCTTCTTCTGCCTCTGTGACCCTTTGCCTTCCTCTCTACCTGGCAAACTTTTCTTTTTCCTTCAATATTCAAATCATACTCTTTCAGAGTTAGTGCACTTTTTGTGTGTTCTTACTATTTTTCACACCTCTGTTTTAGTGCCCATACCATAGTTTTTCTGTGTTATTGTGTATGCATGTCTCTTCTGAGGATGATAAATTTATTGAAAGATTTCTCTTCATTTCCTAAATGTTTCTTAAAGAATTCATGGCCTCAGATCTGACTTTGTTCCTATAACAGTGGCAGTTGAAAGGGTCCTCTCTTTGCCAGTTGATCAGGTGAGACAAGTTGAGCTCTGCTCTCCTTCACCTCTCCTGGGGGTGAGACTTAGGTACTTGGAGTTTATTTTGTCATTTTAATTATTAATGAATTTGTAGAGAGTCTTAAACCTAGAGAACTAATACTTTCTACACATAATTTTAGAAAACAAAGTAGAATAAGGTTTGTGACAGGTGGGTGGGGAAATAGAGTAAAATTCAGTTTATAGGTTTTTTAAAATTAGTTAAAATTTCAT